GGAACACAGACAACAGAGTGGTGAAGGCCAGGGGAGGAGAGGTGGGGGCTGGGTGGAGGTGGGCAAAGGCAGAGAAAATGGGACACATCTATAATAGTGTCAACAATTTTAAAAACATGAAGAAAAAAAAAGAATAGAAATGAATTGGCTTACAAATTTCTGGAGACTGACTTTAAGCGAGACCATAAATGATTTCAGAATTTTCTCTTTTCTCTTCTCCTTTCAACTAACTCTGGGCATTTCCCCAAGTTCAGTGCACAGCTCCCATCACACTGTTCTCACTCTTTCCTCAGAAAAGTCATCTCTTTCAGTAGCTTTATTGATCAACTCCTTGGGGCAAACATCATCTCTCTCTCTCCTGGTCTGACAGTTGCTTTGAATGAGGACCCTTTTCTAAGAGGGCAAGAAGAAAATCTGTGTAGGGAAATCATAAAGAGACAGATTTCAGTTCAATAAAAGAGAAAAAAATAACGTTTGGAGTAACCAGCAATGGACAAAGCAGTCTGTTTTCTCAGGTGGAGGAACTGCATTTACAGTAGCAGATGTGGCCACCCTGCCTGAATGAGTATTAGAGGAGACATAAACACTGAAAGTGTAAAACCACTGGATAGTAGGCAAGTAAAATCAAGCCACAGGACTGAGTCACAATGCAAGAGGCAGAGTTAAAAGTTGTCAACCAGAGGTCATGAAAAAATAGTCAAGTAGAAATGTAAAAAGAGGAAGTTAATTACAGGGCACCTGAACTCAAAGCCATCAGGTATCAGCAGATAAGTCCCTGAGGAGCTCCAGGAAGTCCACCAGACAATCAGAGCTGTCTGCATGGGGTTTCCCACAAGAGCAACATATTTTGCCTAAAGGTGTGTTAAGAGCACCACTTGGCATCTAACACAGGCCTGAGGATGTCATTCATATATATAAATATGATTTTATTGATTTCAGAGAGAGGAAGGGAGAGGGAGAGAGATAGAAACATCAATGATGAGAGCGTCATCGATCGGCTGCCTCCTGCACGCGCCCTACTGGGATCGAGCCGGCAACCTGGACCCGTGGCCTGACCGGAAATCGAACCCAGATCGCCTGGATCCTAGGTCGACGCTCAACCCCTGAGCCACGCCCAGCCGGGCTGAAGCTTCCAAACTTGATTCAGAGGTGGTAGCTGATCCATCTCATCCTTCAACATTGCCTTACCTATAACATTTGCCCATAAACATTTTACAAAATTGAGGGGGAAAAATTAGGAGATTCAAACAACAGAAAGGGACTTGAGTTATGACCTCTAATTCCCTTGCAAACCTGAAATTTTATGACACATTCTTCCCCTCTGAAACTATTCCACACAATGCTATTTACCTGCCAATTATTGATGAAATAGAAAGAAATTACCGACTGTGGCATCAGCTCAGAACAAAGCTAACAGACCCAAGATTGAGACTCAGGGCAGTAGACCCATGATGCCAAGTTCTAAGGTTATAATCTCCAGCGTAAGTGCCTGAGTTAGAGAAGGTATTCAGTTTATAGCAAATGAATGAAGAATAGTGAATGAATGAAGTGACTGCTAAATGGCCACTCCAACCCTTACAGGCACTGAGGTCAAACTGGATCCTGATGGAAATGACCAGAAAATGTCTCATTTGTTTTCCAAGAGTCATCTTTTTCCATAAAAATGAGAATTCTCAAAACAAGAATTTTTGATGCTAAATATTTATTTGCCCTTTTCAAAGAAAAAGGAAGTCTACACCAAACATCAAAAGTTCAGTGAGTCAAGCAAAATTCTAGCAGCACCCGGTCCTTCCAAACAGGAACACGTAACCCCTTAGTCTGAACCACAGAGCTTGACAGAGGACTGAAGCAAAACCATGTGCCCACTGAGAAGAATGACAAATCCAGGAGTCAAAATTCTCAGATTTATTAAGAGTTCAGTCAGAAACTACATGATCTACACCTTCTTGGTTCTCAGTTTTCCCATTTGTAAAGAGAGGGAGTGAAGTTACTTAGCAAGTACTTGAAAAGGCCTTACTTAACTAGATGCCTGGTGCAGGGTCGGACTAAGTTATCTCTTAGGTCCTCTGAAAAACCCTATAACTCTTATAGCTACACTTAGGAGACATTCTTTTGGCTCTGACCTGAAAATTGGGCTAGAAACATAAACAGACTTCTACAGAAAAACACACATTTACCAGCTGTAATTTGGACCTGGCAACAGGAAGTTTCACCATACTGAGAGAGAAAAGTAGAAAATGTTCCCCGGTGGTTGTGTTTCTTTGGGCTACAGTATAGCTCCTATCTAAAAGGTGATGATATAGCCAGAGTGGGGCCGAGTCCCTGTCATATCCCTCTCCCGTCGCTACTGCAGGAGGGAAGGGAGTGCCCGGTTTCTTTTGAACTCGCCCACAGTCTTCTGTATATTCAAGAATAGCAGGTCTCTCCCTACCAGATCTGTCTTTTTCCATTTGGCAAACTCTATTTTATTTTTTATCCCTCTTCCTTCTGTTTTGCAGAGAACAGAAGCCAACACAGCAACAGGCTTTTTGTTTATTTCTTTCCTTTTCAAAAACAAGGCCGTGGTTTCAGCATAGTTATCAGGACAAGGTCCATACAGAACCAGACTTTTAGTAAGTTTAGGGAAGCCCCATGTTTGAATTTTTCTTGATGAAACACTTTGGCAAAACCTTATTATTATTATTCTTGCTGTTGCTATTTTTATATAGTAATAATTATATCAGAATATCTGTAAAGCCATTGCAGTTTAGCAATTTGAAATCCATCTGTATTTCATTTAATTATTAGACGTTGATACAGTTACCTTATTTTTAATTACAGGGAACCTGGGACTTAGTGTGACTGGTTCAAAAATAGCATAACTAGAATAAGCTGTTCAACTATTATTCAAATATGGGTCTCCTGTCACAAAGTCAAACAAACTGTTTAGAAGCTAAGATTTAATGCAACAAAATAGTTTCTGTAATGATCCAACAGAGAAGATCGATTAACGCTTTTAATTGAGTAAATTAAATTTGCAAATAATCAACCCAACAAAATAAGAGCAAAAGTACACAAAAGGCAAATTTTAAAGGTTTTCTTTTTATTTTAATAAAAATGACTAAAATTGAGGAAAACTTATCATATTGTTTTTATTTGCAAGGGATCTCTCTGATGCATAAAATAAATACAAACTTTGTCAGACTCCTGTCCATTACTGGTTAGTTTTTACTATCCAGCAGATAAAATGCAGGGAGTTGTGATATATATATCTAAGACAGAAAACTCTAAGAGCCTTTATAAAATCTAGCCTACAAACGGAATTGGAACTTACTGGTTATAGCTGGAACTTAATAATTTCAACTGATCAATTAAAAAAAAAAGCTTCTTCTATTTCCTAAGATCTAGTATATGAAAATATACCCTCAAAAAATCCACATGGCTCATCCCCCCTCTCCTATGCCAAGTCCTTGTTTAGGTGCCACCTTATCAGTAAGGTCTTCTTGACCATGTCTGCCCTAGGTAGGCCGTATCCCTTACCCTTTCCTCAGCCCGTAGCACTGATCAGGTTCCAATATACTTCGTACTGTATATATTTTCTTCATTTCTACAAGATTTACTAACATAAAGTGTCATGACAGCAGAACCCTGTCTGTCTTTTTTTTTGCTGTAGAATTCCTAGTACTATAAGGGTGCTCACACAAGAACACAGAATATCTGTGGAATGAATGAATCATTTCTTCCTCTGTCTCCACCAAACCCAAAATTTAGGAGAAAGTAAGACAGACAGTGGACAGAACTATTTAAGGGTTTTTTTGCTAAAGCTTTTCCTCTATAAAACTTATATTGAGAAAATTTAAACATATAAAGGTAGACCAAGTAATAGACTAAATCTCTAGCACCTAATAATTATCAACTCATAATTAATCTTTTTTTAACCTATATTCTCACTAATTCCCTACCCATTATTTAGAAACAAATACCAAACAACATTTCACTTCTCCTCAAATATTTCCAATGTTTTTCTAAAAGAAAAAACTGCTGTTTTTTTTCTTCACCCTATCTAAAATAGCCTCATCATCCCTAAAAAATAACAATAATTTTTTTATTTTTTTATTTATGATTCCTGCCTGACATGAATAGCATGTGGCTGTCTAAGTGGTGGCAGGTGGTCACCAGTGTCCCTACATGATCACAGGCTGACAGCTACTTCTAATGTTGCTTCTGTCTCTAGCCCAGTACGTTGTAATCAGCAGGCTCTGGAGCACAACAGCTGTATATAATCGATACATACTGTAATGTACATCCTTGACCTCATTCAGAAGAGAAAATCCTAGAGATGTTTGCTGCTGCTTTTGCTAGAAAGATATTACTGACCAATTAGGACCCACAGTGACCAACCAGAGCCTTAAAATATCAGTCTTACTCACAAAGAATGCAATATTTGTGGAGAAAGGAAAAAAGCAATAAAAAAGTATGATTGTGTGCCCCAGGATAACAAGAACATGTGAACTTCTCAAATGACATTCCTAAAAAATGGCTTTCAGTTTCTAAACAAAATTAGTAGGTGAAAGGATTTCTAAGGCTTTGGAGTACAAGGGGGAAGAACTCTGAGAAGCTTGAGTTGGGCATTTGCATTAAAGTGCCTTAGCTTTCTGTGAGCTGTAGAGCTCTCTGTAGGCTCTGTATAAATGTTTATCCACCACAGAAACAATCACTGAATTCATGAGCTTCCTAGCATGGCTTATAAACATGACTTCAAACATGGATCTTACCTGTGCCCTGAAAGCACCATCATCCAGGGGTGGTGGAGGAGGGAAGTTTCCAGAGCCAGATGGAAGAGCACCAGGATCATCTAGAGGTGGGGGTGGGGGTGGAAGAAAATCACCTACAGAAAGAAAACATACACATGAAGTTACTATTGATGATATTTTCTAGGCACTCTAGCTTTGCAATCGGCATTAACATGTAATTTTTTGCCTTGCATGACAATTATTCCCTTCCCTACTTCTCCTCACTTCAATTAGCAGCCTTAACTTTCTGGTCACTATCACTCAGTGACCACATTTGATACTTGAAAGTGACATAAAAGCTAGTCTATAGGGGTCGGGTACATTTAGCCAGACCAGGGAAGGCGGATGGGGTGGTGGATTACTGAAGTGTAGAAGACTTGGTCCATACCCTCAGTAAATTTTCAATCAAGTAGAGAAGAAAGAAGAATAAGTACATAAGTAAGGGTAATACAAGATGCAATTTATTAAGATATACAAACAAAGTCGCCTGGAAGCTAAGATGAAGGAAAGCTTTTGACATAGTGGAGAAATGAAGGCTTTACTGAGCATTTAAATTGTCCCTGAACATTAGGATGTAGGGAGTAAGTCCATTCTAGGCAGAAAGAGAGAGGAATAGCAGCATAGAGGTAAGAAAATTTTAGGGCCTGCAGAATAAAGAGCAGGTGAGAATACAGCATAAATATAGAAATATAAAATAAACCAGTAGGTTGTAAAAATTAGAACAGTGACAAAATAAGCTTTTAAGTGTGTCGTAAAACTAGCAAAGAGCCTGAATTCTATCATGCGTGAAGTAGGGATCCATCAAGGATTTCTGAGAAATGAACACTTGGTTGTAGTACGATTTTCTAACGACTAATCTAAAAGTACACGCAGGGAAGATTTTGAGAAAATAGAATAAGAAATTCTGATTTGGAAATCTATATGCAGTCTACGTAGGAAGTAATGAGGCCTCAGGACACTAAGAAACCCCAGCATTGTGACCAACAGGAACAGCACAATGAGGCTGCAGTTGTCTGGAAGAATGTGCCTAATCTCTAAGTTTTGAGGTATTGACATACATATAAGAGCTCTGCCGAGTCATGGTATAGAATTTTCTAAAAGTACTCTGCAAGAAATTCTATTGGGAAAAGAAAATTGCAATTACAAAAAAGTCCTTATTTCTCCTTTTCCCCTTTTTTTCCTTTTTATTAAATGTATTGGGGTGACACTGGTTAACAGGTTTCAGGCACACAATTCCACAATACATCATCTGTATGTTGTATTGTGTGTTCACTGCCCCAAGCCAAGTTTCCTTCCATCACCATTTATCCTACCTATACCCTCCTCTACCTTTTAAAAATAGTATTTTAGATGTGTTGAGACAATTCTCCATTCTATTTATGGATAAATAGCTTTTCCTTGCATTTCAGCGGTTTAGCACTTAGTGGTGGGGCAGCAGCCTCCATCACTCAGTGAATTGCTTTTGGAAAGTACCAAAGCATCATGACTTAAGTCTTCAGAGAAAGGAGAGTCAAACTGCAGAGTGGAAGGATGGTGACTTGGACTGCTTGCTCTGATATGCCTTTCAGATGGTTCATGTGGGCTCCATTTGCCTTATAACAGTCTTGGAGCTGGGAGAGTAGCTAACATACTCAGACCACCAAGCAGTCAAACATTACCTTTAGAGTACTCTGCTTTTTAGACTCTTACTATGCACCAGGCAATGTTTGAACATGTTCATACACTACCTTCTACTTCTACAAAACTCTCTGTGCTGATGGTTCTCAAACTTTGGGTTCATCAGGATCTCTGGAAGGTCTTGTTCAAATGTAGACTGCTAGGTCCCACACCCAGGATTTTTGATTCCGTAGGTCTGGGAAAAGGTCCAAGAATTTCTATTTCTAATAAATTCCCAGGTGATGCTGATGCAATTGGTCTTGGGACCACACTTTGAGAAACACTGAATTAGACAAAGTACAGCATTGTTGTTTCTACCCTAGACCCCACAAGGTTAGTAAAGTTCAAGGACTGTGTCATAAAGAAACATTTCTACTTCTCTTATTCTTATGAGTATACTCATTTCAAGACATACTTTGTCCATACCCTTATTAGGGTTATAAGTCTCATAAATCTTTCTTAACTCCACCCAGTAGTTCTAAACACTGCCTACAAACTAGAGTCACCAAGAAAGCTTTTCTATAGACATTGATGCCAAAACTCCATCTCACACCAATTCAATTAGGATCTTGGGGATGGGGAGAGAGGGTGGGGAGGAAGAGTCAGATGCCAGTATTCCTTTAAAACCCAGGTGATTCTAATGTATAGCCAGGACTGAGAAACTCACTTGACCTTCATTTGGCCAAACACTGCACTAAAATATATAATATCTGTTAAGTACAAAGAATTGTCACCAGATCCTCTTCTGCCTTTTACAAGTCATAACATATGAGAAGAATGTACACAATGAGATCTTAAGTGACCAGCAAAGGAGATCAAGGTTGATGACTTGACTACCAAATTCTAGTTCACAGCCTAATTTTCAGGTTCAAAGTCCTATCCAGACCTATGTCTTCTGCATATCCAGCCTAAAAGAAAATTTCTGAGCATCTTCTTCTACTTCAGCAGACCCTAATATGACACCAGACAGTGTCATAAAGAACTGTCTGCATTAAACAGGATCAGAACTGAATGAATCTTGGAGGTCTTATTATAAAGGTAGAAATAGAGGCCCACAAAAAACACATGAATAGTCGAATTTTCACAGAAAATTAGTCTATGATGAGAAAGCACAAATGATTGCCTGTCTCTGAGGTCCCTTCCCACTACATCCTTCTTGACTACATTTCTGTCATACAAATTATGCACAGTGAGGCAAGGTTGATGATACTCCTGGGAGGGTGAAAAGGAACAGAAAAGAAAAATGGAATAGAGTTTTAAAAAGAAGTAATTTGTAAACAACATAAATCTAGACTACATATTCTAGGGAAAACTAGGCAGATTTTTAAAAGCCCTAGTGATAACCTCATAATAATAATCTGCTTTATTTTTTTCAGTTACAAAGTTAGACCAAAGTGTTCAGTTCTTCAAGCTCATAGGCTTCTTACTGCATTTTAAAATGATGTCGAAGAATGGTAAATGTCTTGAAAACAGATACATATGTGATAAAGGGATAGAATATTCAGTGGGTCCTTTGGAAGGAAACACAACTCGTTGATATAGTTGGAATAAGAAAAGCTAAATAACTATCATAAATCAGACTAAGAATTATTATGAGAATTTTGACTTTAGCTCACCATTTTAACAAGCAAGTAAACAAAGGAAACTGCCTCTATGTTACGGTAAGAATAGGTTCAGATTAAGAGAGAAGGCAAACTTCCCATGTTTAGAGAAGATGGGAAAGGGAAAGAACGGGGTGCATGTATCTGTGTGTCGCGTGTGCATGTGTGTGTCTGTATGGTGAGAAAAGGGGGAATCCTTTCCACTACATTTTTTAAAAACCGATCAGAGACCATGTGTCTTAGATGCTTAGGTGGTAACCCTCCCAGAGAAAAGCAGCTGAACAGAATCAGCTGCCGTACCTTCCAAATGACAATGCTAAGCTGTAGACCTTCACGTTAGCGCCCACCTGAAACTGGAACTCCCAGACCCTGCCTCTCACGGGGCATTGAACACATCGTACAGGCAAGCCAGAAAGAACACAGCTTCGGGCAACTGGGGCCGTGCAGTGATACATAAAATCTGAGACAGGAACGTCTGGTTTTAGAAGTCGAGTAGTCACAGACAGATGGCTACAAGCCTGGCTTCCTCTTTACCCTCTAACCCCTGATCCAAAGCCTACCACATGCAAAATACATTTATTCATCAATTACCAGGTAATAGGATTTACTCGAAGTTACACAGCTAGTGAATACAGAGCTGGAAGTGGATCCTCCCTCTGCCTTGGCAAAAAGCTAAAAAGGATATCACTTCACTTCCTCCATATCACCCCACATCATTTAGCTAAATTCAATTTTTTTTTTTTCTTTCTGCCAGAGGTAGCACCATCAAACAGTTAAAGGGTGAGTTGGGCAAATAAACTATTATATCCCTGATTCCCAAATGCTCCTTTATGCCAGTTAACTTCAGAAAATAGCCTGTTATGCATACCATTAACTAGAAAAGGGAGTGAGGAAAAACTCCTAAGAACCCAGCCATCTATGCGTATTTTTTCAAGCTACCCTTTCTAGTCTAGAGGTAAAAAGGCAGTGAGACACCAAGAAGCAGATGTGACTACTAGGTAGAAGCTGAGTTATCACCCAGCTGAGTTATCGCCTAGTAACATGGGTTAGGCATATATGGAAGGCACCTGAGTACAGAGCTTGCTATACTTTCATGAAATAAGGGCCCCATTAGAAGGAGAAAAAAGAACAAGAATTTACCAGCAAAGAAGGTGGCAAGGTACTGGTTAGGTGTGATTGCAGTGGAAAAACACAAGAGAGTAATTAAGTTCAAATCATCAACTAAAGTCTTGATTCATTTACTATGGTTAAAAAAAAAGCATCATTCTCTTTCTTCTTCATCCAAACATCCATGTAAACCTACACACATACACAGGAATTTAGATAGCAGCCCCTTTTGTGCTTCATAATACAGTTCTATCATAGCATCTCTAAAACTTGGCTGCATTTATGGGCTTATGATCACTCTCGCCTGGTTAGAACTGAAGTTTCTAACAAGTAGAGCCCACTCATAATTTATCTTTATACCCCCGCCACCTGGCATAAAGTTTGGGTCATTGTACACTCTCGGTAAATGCAGGATGAATCATTAAGTAAATAAAAAGTCATTTAATAGCTCAATTGATACAATTTTTAAATGACCTGATGCCTTAGATGTTTTTCAAACATCAATGTTGAAATCACCAAGGGGGTCTAGATGACCGGCAGACTTTGATGCAGTAGGTCTGGAGTGAGGCCTAAGCATCTGCATTTCTAACATGCTCCCAGGTGAGGCAGATATAGATGCATGCACTTCACATGGAGGAGCATGACTCTAGGGCTCTTCAGCTGGCAGCTGCTGGCTCTCCAGTTTGCTTATGTGGAGAATTTTGCGTTGTTTAAGGAAAATCTAAACTTTA